TCTGAATTATACGAAAAGCTGTCGGAAAGTCCACAAAGAGTTTAGTCCTGAAGAGTGGACTGCATTTCGATTGGCAAAAGACCAGCAGATAATTGATGAACAGTTTGTTGCCATAAGACACGGACTCGAACTGATCCACAAATCGCTGATAACTATTAAGGAATTGAATGTCATTTAATGGCAGCCATTATTGTGTGATATAAATGGATGATAGGATAAGACATACAAATCACCGCAAGTGTCATAATAGGGCACTCTATCCGATATCTGGCATCGGATCCCATCGCCGGCCAGTAGTGTCTTCAGAATGACATACAATAGCCGTTGAACTCCATCATCAAAGAAGACTTCTTCAGATATGAGAAATACCGATGAAATGAGACAATAGAGCGCCGACGAAGACTGGATCAGTTGGTGACAGTAATTGCGGTGCCGTTTGACCACCGCTGAGATAAACACAAGACACGCGCGAATCTCATCCAACGTCACAGAGTTCTTGGTCTCGACTGATCTGATGAGTGGATCAAAGAGCCAGTGATGGGAATCAAAGCGCGAATGTTTGCCATACAATGTCTTAATGGAGTCTAAATTGTCAACAATATTGGGCTCAAACTCTTTGTCCCGAAGACTGAGTTCAGACATATGTCCAGCGATTCCGGAGGACTCGATGGCGTAAATTGTTTTGTTGAACACAACTTCAGTCAACAGTTTGTGTTTAATGGTCTCATTGGGCGTAAAACTAGTCATCAAAAGCGCTAAATTGTGGTAACAGTGGATATCTTCGGCTGATGACGTGGTGGATGCGATGGAAGTGATGAAACACAGGGAACAGATCTCCGAGAGTGCCATCAGTTCATAGCAATCAAATAAATTAAGTTTTATATCGTGTTTAAGATTTTTGGCCACTCTTTGGATATAATCTTTGAATGCGTGTAATTTGTCGGACATATTATCATTGTTTGGTTGTGTCTTAAGGGTGTGAATCACGGCTAAGATTAGCCCAATCGGCGATTCGTTGTTCATTATGGGAACCGTTCGGTGACTTCTGTACAGAACTGATCCAAAAGATGGCAAATTGGGTGAATCGCGTCGATGTGGCTGTGCTTTAGTCTCGAGTTTAACTAAATTCGAGTTTTCGATCAAAGAGTTTAAGAGTTTGTGTTGAATGGCTTTCGAGTCGACAATTTGCGAGACAATGTCGGCCAGAGTCTGGATCTGATAGCCGGCGGTCAACAGGTATTGGACGCCCGAAAAGAGGCACAGATTGGCATCAAATGCGGGAACAATTACCGCATTCTTGATTAGTGTCAACCATTTCATTGTTGTCATCAAAACTAAATCGTTGAACGCCTGGAAGTGTTGGTTCCGTTGGACGCAAGTCTTGAGCGCCGCAATGAGTGTCGACGCGTATTGAAAGTCGTAATCGTTTTGATGGCTAATCGGGTCCAGTGTTGAGCAGTACTGCAACTGTTTGATCAAAACGGGAAACATTTGCCAAAAGTCTTCGACGCATAGGTTTTGAGATAATAAGCTGATCCACAGTCGCAGGGCTTCGATGGATACCCGCAGTGTCTCACGACTGGTGGCGCAGTTCTCGGGGTTTAGCGTCAGATAGACTTTGAGGGCTTCGATGAGTTGCGGAAACACACGGATTATGTGAGCAGCGGTTCCAGACGGACAGTCTTCGTCCACATCGACCAACAGACGGATCAGCTTAACAGCCCTGGCGTTCGGCCGATCGAACACCCGATCGCCGGTCACGACAGACACCGGAATCAAACCGTCGATAATTGTGCTCAAAAGGAACGGACAGTTAACGATGTCTTGACGACAATCCGGCGAATGTCTGGCCATTCGTATCAATATATCCAAGAGATCGTCCACAGCTCTGGAGTCCAGTTGACTCCGATTGGTCTCCAAGAGGTAGCGAATCCTCTGCGGCAGAGATGTCCGCTTCACGAGACAGTGGACGGCATCTAATTTCATGAGCTGTTCGTCAGTTAATTCTTCGGCCGATTTAGCGGTCATGGCGTAGGAGGGCTTCAGTTGGCGGACACCGGTGTCCGGGCGAAGGCATTGGGCGAACAGTGCGAACCCGCGGTCGAGGAACAGCTCGTCGGTGCCGGTGTTGCACAGCATGGCGTGCATTGCGGTGATGGCCGCCCGCCAGACACTGTCAGTGGTGTCGTCGAGACACAGACGGGTGATCAGAATCAGTGCCGAATTCTTCAGCAACTGTTCGGTGATATTCTCGTTGAAACACTGGTCGTAGAGGCCGTTGAATGCTTTGGCCAACACTTTGGACAGCACTTGAAGGCCGAGCACTTTCTGCGCGGCGAACGTACTCTGCAATAGTGTGTACAACTCGTCGGTGGTATAGCCGGCGCTGGACTCGTCCTCGCGGTGATGATAGAGCGCCGTCTGGACGCCACAGTCGGCCACCGTTTTGTCGATTAGATT